ACATTTACCGAACAAGTATTTATGAGCAAGCAGGCCCCAAACAATGCAAACGTGTTATTAAATTCAGAAAATCCGAGGTAGACGCCGGAATGTTCCGGAGACCCATCGTGCGATGTGTCACATCAGGCATCCGGAATCCCCTTAAACCGATGGGGGTGGATGGGTGGATAGAGGCAGGGGTGTGGGGGCCCAGCCCGGGGTGCTGACTCTGGGGGTGCAGAATGGGGGGCATGCTGGATTCTTTTTCCCGTCCTCTCCTCCTTCCACCCCTGTGTCCCCCGCGGGGCTCTGGTGACGTTCTCCAGATGTTTCCGTGGGGATCTGGGAGCTATTGGTTGATGGAGTGTCTAGTTGTTTCCTTCACTGCCTCTCAGTGTGGTGCTTGAATCGTGTCTTCCGGCGTCATTTTCCCGGAAATAATAAAGCACGTACAAGGGGAGTGAGAGCGTGGCTGCGTGAGGTGGGCGGGAGCTACACAGTTTCCTACGTTTCTAGAACAGTGGCCTCTCTGAACTCCCCTCTGGGTCTCCCTGCTCCCGCCTTGCCGTGAGGGCTGAAAACGGAGGGCGGAGTGCCCAGCGCGGCACCCCGTGTGGAGCCACAGCCATCCCTAACCCCGGGTCTGACCACAGGGACTGCGAAATCCTTCCTTTTGCAGCTGCTGGTGAAGAACATTCAGCTGGAGGATGGCAAGATGATCCCGGCCTCGAACTTCTTCAAGGGAGCAGACAGCAGTGCCCTTGAGCTGACAGAGGAGGAGCTGGTCACCGCAGAGGCCGTGCGGGTGAGAGGCACCTTTGGGGCTGCCGTCCAGTTGGGCAGGTTGCGCACTGCACAACTGTTCTGCAAATCGCACTTCCTGGAGCTGGGCTGTGCCCACCCTCTGTGGGTGTCTGTGTTGGTTCTATCCTGTCTTGGAGCCTCTTGCCCCTCCTTCCTCTGCAAATGGGGGCCCCGGGTTTTGCCCGGCTGGGTCTGATTCTTCCAGGCACTCACTGTCAACAGCAAACAAATGAAACAGAAGCCTCTGGAATATTTTGAAAGAGTCAGGGGCCAACCCCATGGCCCTGTGATGAGGACGTGTGCAGTGGAACCTTCCAGAAAGTCTGCCCCAGAGGGAGCATCCCAGGCTGTGGCCAGCACAAGCTGCCCATTAGACAGACCTGGGCTCCAGCCCAGCTTTGCCCGGTGATGTCCAGGGTGCTTGCCCCTCTGAGACTCAGTCTCCTCCTCCTGAAGTTCGATCAGTGGTCACTTCCTGGACTTTGTTCCCGGCCTGTGGTCGCAAGGCCAGCTGGACAGACAGCCCTTCTGGAGCTTACGGGGCGTGGCCCTGGGGATGGGGTGGGGGCATCTGTTTGTGGACCTGAGCCAGAAGATGCTACTTTAAAATAGCTCAACTGAGGCCGGGCGCGGTGGCTCACGCCTGTAATCCCAGCACTCCGGGAGGCCGAGGCGGGAGGATCGCTCGAGGTCAGGAGTTCGAGACAAGCCTGAGCAAGAGCGAGACCCTGTCTCTACTAAAAATAGAAAGAAATTAGCTGGACAACTAAAAATATATAGAAAAATTCAGCCGGGCATGGTGGTGCATGCCTGTAGTCCCAACTACTCGGGAGGCGGAGGCAGGAGGATCGCTTGAGCCCAGAAGTTGGAGATTGCTGTGAGCTATGATGATGCCACGGCACTCTAGCCCGGGCGACAGAGCGAGACTCTGTCTCAAAAAAAAAAAAAAAATAGCTCAGCCGAGTCCTGCATCTAAAATGAGGCCACAGCCCCGGCCCCGTGGATGCCACCACGGGTAGAGGAGGAGACACAGAGCCGGTTAGGGACGTGGTTTGCTTTAGAAGCTGGCCCGGATTCGGGACTCCGCACACGTCGGCCGTGAGTCCAAGAGTCATCGTGAGAAAAGCAGATCGTTCTAGAGCGTGTGCGTAGGCAGAGTGGGAAACTCTCCAGGAGAGTTTATCTAACAGCTCTGGGAGGCAGATGCTGTTCTCACCGTGTCCCGGCCGAGGCCCGAGGGAGCCGCCGCTGACCGGGCAGTGCTGTCGTTAGAGCCCGGGGTCCGGGAGGTCCTCGCTGTGCAGCCCCCCTGGCCATTGATAGGATTGTCACCGTCGTGCCTGTTGCTCAGAGCTGGGCTGGGCTTCCAGGACCTGTGATCAGGAGGCCAACGGGGAGGAGGGCGGATGGCCAGGACGAGGAGAGGCCGGTCTCCAGTGCCGGAGCAGAGGGTCCGGCCGGCGGACATTCAGACGAATTTGCCAAGTGCCCGCCACCAGCCTGGCAGTGGGCAGCGAGCCCCCCTCGTGCTCTCCCGAGCTGAGGCCAGGCAGAATGCGGCAGGTGGCACAGACGTCCCGCCTGCTGGGTGTCACTGCGCCCTAAGCAGCAGGGTCTCCTGAGCCCTGTGTCCTCCCTCAGACCCACCCCTGAGCTGCTGCGGCACCCTCGGGTCTGTGCCATGCTGGAGACACCAAAACCTGGTCTCCGGCCGGGCGCAGTGGCTCACGCCTGTAATCCTAGCACTCTGGGAGGCCGAGGCTGGAGGATCGATGGAGCTCAGGAGTTTGAAACCAGCCTGAGCAAGAGCGAGACCCCGTCTCTACTAGAAATAGAAGGAAATTAATTGGACAACTAAAAATACATAGAAAAAATTAGCCGGGCATGGTGGCGCATGCCTGTAGTCCCAGCTACTGGGGAGGCTGAGGCAGGAGGATCGCTTGAGCCCAGGAGTTGGAGGTTGCTGTGAGCGAGGCTGACGCCACGGCACTCACTCTAGCCCGGGCAAAAGAGTGAGACTCTGTCTCAAAAAAAAAAAAAAAACCTGGTCTCCCTGCCTTCCCGGTGCCCAGCCACACCCCGAGTCCCGGCCTGTCCGTCCCCCACTGGCCGAACCGCCGTGGGGACCCCAGAGAAGCTGGGCGTCGAGGTCGGGTGGGTGTGAGGACGGCGGCCGGGCGCCAGAGCGGCGTGGGCTGTCCCCCCCGGGGGGTCAGCCTCTCCAGGACCAGCCGGACCCTGGGGAAGGGCAGCCGCGTGGGGGACAGAGCAGCCCGGCCTGGGGCCGGGTCTCCCGCGAGCCACCCTCTCACCGGGCCTTGCTTTGCAGAGCGCTTGGCAGCGGATCCTGCCCAACATCCTGCAGGTCGAAGACTCCACTGATTTCTTCAAATCAGGGGCTGCGTCGGTGGACGTAGTGAGGTGAGGCCAGGAGAGGGGGGTCCCCGCCCCGGGGCCGTGCTGCTGTCACAAACCCCCACGAGAATGAGCAGCGGGAGGCAGCCGCCGTTTGCTATGCTCTGGCCTCAAGGGCAGGCGTGAGCGTCTGCAAGGAGGGGGTAGCTGCGCTCAGGCTACCCGGAAGCTCTGGGGAGGAATTTGAGACGGGTTTGATGTCTGAGAGTGACTCTGAGATCACAAAAGAATCGGCGTTGTATATTGCGCAGTCTGTCGCGTTGGGCACGGCCACTTTGGGCCAGGCTCGGCGGCCGTCAGCAGGGCTCACGGAAGCGTCTGCGAGAGCTGCCCGGTCAGCTGCGGCTGGCCCGTCTAGCACGACCCCTTCGCTGGCCAGCCCATGCCTGCACAGAGTCACTGAGCTGGGGTTGGTGGAGGATGCAGAGAAAGCTGATTCTTTTCGTTTTGTAAATAGTTAAGAGCGTATATCCTTTTTTTTTTTTTTTTTTTTTGAGACAGAGTCTCGCTTT